ACTAGAGGCGCCAATCAACGGTTTGTGAACAAAATGTGCCGTTCATATTTGGTTTTGGGACTAAGGCAAGACTGTTCCTTGGCAGGCCCCCCAACTCCTGCATAATAGGTCTCTGGGGATTTATCCTGCAGTTGTGGAAAACAGTACATTGCCAACAAAATTCCACGTACGGCCAGCTGACACATGTTTCTACTTCACTTCACTGTGGTCCCACATACATCTGAGGATGTTTATATGGAGAATAGTAGCCAAACCAACTGTGCAAAATGTCCAATAGCAGCACAGGGACCAGGACACTGACTGACAATAAGGCTATCCACCCACATGAATAATTTGCAGGATCAAGGTCATTTAATTTAAAAAGTGGATTAACAACCATAGTGATTGAAAAGCCTCTTTCCATACAAGTAGTTTAGCAAGGGCAGCAACAGCTGTCAGGCTTTTGTGGCACGGTGCAGCCAATGTACCTCACTACCATTCTGGAAAAATCACTTCTCCAGAATATGATGTAATAGCTAATGACTACTATCCTAAATGCATTTGAGCTGGCAGTCCTTGGCTGATTTCGATACAGCTCTGCTAGTAATGAATCTGTGTAGGAGCTGCAGCTTCTTTTGGCAGGTTCTATAAAGAATGTCAGCAAGTTATCAAGGCATGTTTTATGACAACAATTAGATTGAAATTTGATGTTTTAGCTCTGATCCTCAGAGCACTCTGCTAATTCAAGCTCTCTGAATTTCAGCAACCCATCACCAACCTGGGGCTAGAGCAGTCCACAGAAGAGGCTCCTTTCCCTGGACATGACTGTACAACTACATAATGGCTATAGAATTAAAACCACTTTACACAGAAAATCAACTGACTACTACACATACTTGAACACTAGAAAATCCATTGTCTATAGCCAATCCCTACATTACAAACACATCTGCTCATACTCTTTGGACAGAGACTAACAACTTAAGAATTTTTATTAGGCATTCCTTAAACTACAATACCCACCCAACACAGTGAAAAAACACGTCAACAAGGTCAAAGTATAGTAGTACTCAAGAACAATGAACTACAGGGCAGACCTAGTAGAGAAAACCATACCACACCACTTGTTGTCACTTCCAAGTTTCCAGCTGAAGCCAAATTTATCACCAATGATCTACACACAGCCTATGCTGTAGAATTACACTTCTCTCTCACAGGTCTTGGGTGGTAGGCCTGTACTTGCTTACAGCCAGCCCCCCTCAAACCATCTACTTATCAGCAAAAAGTGACCATACAACAGATATGAACACAGGATATAGTCCCCTGTGTCACACTATGTTACTGGTTCTTTACCAATGTCTACTCTGGTAACACAGTTACAAGCAGGTCCATGCTGAATGGGGGGGTGCAGTTGGGTACACTTGCTCCAGGCCTCGGAGGGCTAAGCTGGCCGGGACCCCCGCAGGGACCTGCTGATCTTACACTGTCATGCCAAGAATTCCCCATGCCTCTCAGCTGACTGGGGACCCTTGCAGACAAGCAATGCATGGGTCTGGTGATGGGTTCTACAGGTGGCGACCATATTACAGGCATCCAATTAATGTGTGACCACCACCCAGAAGAGGGCAGAACAGGGGCAGAAAGGGCTTGTGTGTGCGTGGGGGCCAAGAACGGAACCCCTGCACAAAGTAGTCGCCACCTGTAATAATGGCACCCACACCAAGGGTTCTTTCATTTATTCGCCTTCCAATGCAATATATGCCATCAGAATTCTGCTTTGGGAAGGATCAGTCACTTTATCAGAGGCGCTTGTTAAGATAGCAATTGGTGATGCACTTACAATAACATACTATGTCAGAAGCAGCCCTGTGTGGCATGTGATTGTAGCTAAACCGTTTGATGCGTTGTGAAGTGCTTGACCGTAGTATTTCTGTGATATGCTTGGAGGCATCATGGAAGTGTGGGGTAGAGAAGTAATAAACACACAAATATATTCATTTAAGCAAACTGCTATATAATGTCTCCCTTAACTATAAACGGGTGATTATCAGCCACCAGACATACTCAAGAATAGATCCATTAAAATCAATGAAATTAAGTGTGGAAGGTCATAGCTCAGTGGGAGAGCATCTGCCTTGCATGCAGAATGTTCCATCTGTGACATTTTCAGGTAGGACTGGGAGAAACTCCTGCCTGAAACCTTGGAGAACTGCACCAACTGGTTTGCCTCAGTATGGCAGCTTCCTGCGTTCCATTCAATGGGTCTACTCTGATGTTGGGTATCACCTGATTTATCTGTGCTTATGTACATTATTATTATTATTATTATTATTATTATTATTATTATTATTATTATTACCAGCCACAAGAGAAGATGAGTAAGGTCTTCATGTATATGTAAAGGCTACAGGATGAACTCATCTGTCATCAACACATTAGTGCAGGGGCCTTATCATTTAATTGAGTGAAGCATTGTGTTATTTATGATGCTATAAAATCAGTGATCAATGCCAGAGTGAAATGTTTACTAGAATCTTTAGGCCAGGGAAACAGGAAAGGTTCTGGGAAACGAAAGATAGGCTCACTGAAAAAAAGGCAAGTTTACACGGTGGCTTCTGCATAAGAAAAGATAAGGCTGATGGAAAGGAATACTGCATAATTTATTTACTTATACATTTTAATTCAATAATTTCTAGGCTACTCCACACCCCAAAGGCTCCTGCTGAATAACAATAAGTTAGAGATGTATACATAAAATGTCCAATTAAAATTAGGTATATAAAACTTAAGTACTAAATTCTTCCTTTTGAGTCTAGACTGTATAATATGCTTTACGTGGGGCTCCTTTTGATCGCAGTTTGGAAGCTTAACCCCAACTGTGAAAAGCCAGCACAGGGAAAGAACTCTTACAACTCTTCTGAAAGTTGTTGATTCAGGAAAATTTCCAGGGGAAAGCCTTCTACAATGAAGTAAAGCCACGGATAACATATGTCTGTCTTTACTTCCTATCCAGACTTGGTACGCAGATGTGAAGCTCAAGAGGTTGGTTTGTCGCTATTGAGCATGGTGAGAAAACCTCAAGAGGTTATATCTCACTGGCCTGGCCTCTGAATCTGGTCTCAGCACTCTGATTATAACAGCAAGCTTGCTATTGAAGAAGAGCTCAGCTTCTGTACTGGCAAAAGAAGAGGCTTTAGTCTGATTCCAGTCAGTATTGAAGCAGATCAGGCTGGAGAAGCAGGGGTAGTGAGCTCTGCAGCCTGATATAATTGTCCACAGAGTGGGGGGGACGACGACTTTTTTTGGTGGCTAGCTTGCTGTAGTCATGAAGGGAGTGGAATTAGACAGGAGAAAGGGACAGTTTGTCAGGGTACAGCATAGAAGCTATTTTATTTATTTAAACAATTCATATACTGCTTAATTATTACTATCATCTCTAAAGAGTATGTATTAGAGAGAATGTGGTGTGTATTCTGGGTGAGTGTGTGTATGTATGAAAGTTAGAGACAGAAAATCAGGTATGTATGTGCATGTATATGTGTATGTTTTGGCCCCATCCACTGTTGCTTGTTGGACCCAACCACTGTTGGTATGCAAAGCCCCAACCACTTTTCTCCAAGGGAATGTAACTCTTGGGGGAAATGGTTGCTTAGGCTATTCCTGTAAAGAGGCAGGCTGATTTGTTCTGCCCTAGTTAAAGGCACATACTCTGTTTATATACTAGAGTACTGTAATGCGCTCTAAGTGGGGCTGCCTTTAAAAGCTGTTCAGCAAGAATGCTTGTAGGAGCTAAATGATCACAATGTATGATATATATTCTGTACCATTTACATTGGCTCGGTCCTGATCTTGGTCTATAAAGCCCTAAGTTGTTTGGAACCATGTTACCCAAAATTCATCCTGCTCCTTTATTAGCTTGCCCAAGTTTTGTGATTGGCCTTGGAGGCTCTGCTCTCTGGCCCATCAATAGGAGAGGTTTGGCTAGCAGGTACCAAAGATAGCGGCACTATGCTTATAAAATATGAATCCCCAGAAGGTATGCATGGTACAACTTTAGTCATTTTAAAAATACTATCATGTTTATTTTGATCAGCATTTTATTATTACCTGCCATGGGTCTTTTGTTCTGTTTTTTTATGACTTATGTTTTAAAACTGTTGCTTTTATATATAATTTATTGATGCTTCCTTGTTCTAAAAGATGTAATATAAATCTTCTAATAAAGAAATATATGGTACTTTCAAATATCCATCAAGGACAGAGCCACACAAAGCTCATTAAAACCACACAGCTACAAAGGAGTTTTAAATTTGACAAATCTTTGCTAAACAGCTCTTGTGAAAATCACACTGTTACAATAAAAAAATCAGTTCAGAAGAGTCAGGGGCCAGCCCGAAGTCTGAAGGGTCCTCAAAAAAGTGCCATTTAATATCCTTTGGTGGGCCTACTTGACTGTAACAGTGGTGGTCAGCAGCACTGTCAACCCCAGGAGGCACTATCTGATTTTCACACAATACCTTGGAACGAGTACCAAAGAATACTTGCCCCAAACCTGGATCTTGACCTCCAGGAATTCTCCTTTCTATATGCCTATTCTTTTCCTTGCACTATCAGAGTTTCCAGCTCCTCCTCGTTAGGAAGATTTGGCTGTGGCGCTTCTGAAGGAAAGCATCACGAAACCCAAAACAACCCGCCTCAACTTTTATCAAAGCAAAAAAAGGAATTAATATCGATTAACAATAGTGCAAGAGGGAGGCGCAGGAGAATACAGTACAGTATTCGGGAAAAGAAGGGCTACTGCTTGCACAGGCCGTAGCTTTGAGCGAGGCAAGGTCAGACCCGGGGCAGAACCAATGCGCGCTTACTCGGGAGTAACTCCCGCAGCGTCCAACGAAACTTCCTCCAAATGGAGGTAGGGCTGCTTCCGTGCAGCGCGCTTGCTCGGAGGCAAAGCTCGCTGAATCCAACGGCGTTTATTCCCGAGCAAACCTGCAGCTGGAAACTGGTTCCGGGGCTAGTAAGCCTCGGCCCCCGAAAAGACGCCCGGCGAGGAGACACCCGCCCGGCTGGTGGGCCGGCCTTGCTTTGGCTTCCGCCACTGATCCGGCAGCACACGGAGCGAGTCCGCCTCCAGCGGCATCTCCATCCGGGTGGCGGCGAAGCGGGAGAGGGTCCCTCAGCCGGGCTCGAGTGGAAGGATGGGGCAGGCTGGCCCCGAGGAGGCCGGCCGGGATGCGGCCCAGGGGAGCACCGTGGGCCTGGCGGGGCCGCCTCAGCCGCGGGGCAGCCCTCAGCCCGCCGCGGCACAGACGGAGGAGTCGCAGCGCCGCCTCTTCTTAGTAAAAGGTCCACGGTCCCGCCGCCCGCTCTGCGCGCTCGGTTTCGGAACAGACGGGAGGGACGGAGGGAGCGGGGTCCGGAGCCTGGGCCGCGCTCGCTCGCTCTCCGGCGCTTGAAGCCCGTGTGTATGTCTGTGCTTCATGGTACCGCTTGTGGTTGCTCAGTTAGTGGTGAGGTAAAGGCACTTTGTGCATGCTCACTTCCCCATATTCCTGGAAGTAAGCCTATAAATTAAAACCCAGGCTGAACCGCATCCAGGTTAAAATCCGAGAGGGTCTGGTTCAATGAGGAGAATAGTAGCAGGCAGACTTGTGCTGCCCAAACACGAATTGCATGGGGTATTTTGGAGGTATAAAAGTTCACGTTCCTGGATTAAACTTGGCGGGGGGGGGAGGGGGCAGAGCATTTAAGTTGCCACAGTTGTAACAGTGAGCTACTAAAATGTCAGAGATGGGAACCGTCGCCTTTTAGGATAAAAAGCGGTATATAAATACTTGAACTAAAATAATTACTATACCGATTACATTTCCCTGTTAAGTAACAGCGAGGAGTCTATTGCCTGTACCCCAAGTATACATACTACACAGTGTGTTTATGTGCAAGGGCTGAATATGTTAATCTACACCAAAGTTGCCCATTATTTTCTTTCTGGAAGTGATTTCCGTGAAGGAATTTTGGTCTATGGACATACACACACATGGCAGCTTCTTGCATAGACAGGTGGCATGTGAAGTGTCCCTAGAAAAGATTGCAAACTGCACAGTTGAACAATACCTTTGTTAGGACCAACCAAAAATAGTGTGCAAGCTTTTGTTATGTATTCCCTCACAACTCAGTGTTCAAAGCGGGATGTCTGCCCTGCTAACTGTGCTGGACCTGGAATGGTCCTACCTGCTGTATGAACTAGTGAGATATCAGCATAAACTACCTGGGTCCACTGTGGGGAATTGGATGTACTCAAAACATCTGGTTCTGTATATTAGAGCTATTGCGATGGACCCTATAGAATTTGGAAGAGTGGATCTCTTAGACTTAAGAAGGCCAGAGCTGGAGACTCATCTGCTGTATGTGGCATATCCTCTTCAAATACCAACACATGTTCAAGTGACAGCTTGAAGTAATTAATGCTGTAAAATGCTGCATTATGTCCTCCTCTCAGAAAAGGGAGCTGGTGGTGTGGAGCATCTGCACCAGAGGCACTTGAATGTGCCAGGTTGTCTTGGCAACTGAGATGTAGAGGACCAGGCTCTTCCCAACTGTATATCTCTATCCTTATAATTTGTACCATGCAAACTTTGGACAGTCACCTAATACTACTTCCAGAATTATTCAGAAATTTAAGATGCCACTGTGATCTTGAGCAGCAATACCCCTCTTATTTTGGTAGTTTACCAGGCAGCTTGATGGCTGTTCCCTTCCTTTGGGAAGCACTGATAGTCCTTAAGTTCAAAGGTTTTTTTTAAGTATTTCATTTATTTGCCTTTACCTAGGCAAAGGTGACCTAGGTCTGGTTGTTTTACTCTTGTTTTCATTTTGTTGGCAGGTGGAATCTTTCTTACTACAGTTGCTACTGCAGGAATTCTAGCAGGTTTTGGTACAACACTTGCCATGGCTAAAAAGAAAAACCCAAACTGGTTCAATAAGGTTTGATTATTTTAAATTTCTTTGCAATTGTGATAAAAATGTAGCCTTGTAATGGTGTTATTGCCAGGTTCCTTTTAAGGACCAATCATTTGGAAAATAGAGTCATTGTTTAAAGAAGATAGCATGGCCATAACTGCAGAATACAGTTAGGCCTGTGGTAGGTTAAAATCAATGTGGTTTTTAAAATTTAAATTTTAGTTTTTAATTTAAAACAGCAGCAGCAGAGGCTGCACAGTACTGACTCCAGATGCTCTCTGTCTATTGTACTTTGCAATAACTGCTGTTTTCTAGTCAGCAAAGGCATTTAAGTGCTATCTCTGTTCATGTATCCCCCTTTATAATCAATGTTAAAACTGGTTCTCTGGCTTGCCAGCGTAGAAATCCTAACTCTGCCATGCCATCAGTCTCAACTTAGTATGACTCAACCAATCAAACACTGCGGACATTTATTTTTCATCTCCTTGAAACCTGCTTTGCTGAGTAACTTGATTGTACAATGTTCTGAGCATTTATAGCCCAATATGATGCATGTTTACAAGTCCATTGATTTCAGTCGGTCCATTCTGAGTATGACTAATGTTAAACATTACCCTATAACTACAGGATCATTATGCCCTAGGCAGTAGTTGAGCAGATTTCTAAACAGCACTTCTCTTAAAGTTATTGCAGAATTGGTAGTTTAGATTAACAGCATCAATATAGTTAATAAAGTTAGCTGTTTCTTCTCCAACTTACTCATTCCCATGGTCTGTCACCTCTGTCCAAAACAAAGCCCTGAAAATGTGAAATGTTTCCAAGATGCTTGGAGTTCTGTTTTCCACAGCACATATTCTGTTAGGATTTTGTTGTTATTCATATACAGAGAAGTGCCCTAAATTAATAAAAGAAACTCTATAATGTAAAAACAGCAGTTAATAAACATGTGAGCAACATCCCTTCTCTTAAAATAGTAGCATTTCCCTTTTTTATCAATGAGATCTTTTCTTCTTTAGTGAAGTTTCTAGCAATTAGTTCATTACTTGTCTTGAAGGTATAAATAGCTTTTGCACACATCATATGACAAAAATTGTCTGTAAACAACACAGTGTAGCCGAATATTCTACACCCTTGAGGCATTACCTCATGTGCAAATGCTCTTGAACCAATATACCCAGATTCATAGTCTTCAATTATTGCTCTTTGAAGGCTTTTCTGCTCAACATTTTTACAAAAATACCCTGAATGTATTTTCATTTCAAAACTTGTTGAATCCTTTCATAATACAAAGTAGAAAGAATCTTTATTTTATACATTCTGTTTGGATTCTTTTACATAGCAAATTTCACACAAAAACCAGCTGTGGATATCTTTAACAACTGATACAAAGACTCATGAGATGTTTCATAAATACAGTGGTACCTCAGGTTACATACGCTTCAGGTTACATACGCTTCAGGTTACAGACTCCGCTAACCCAGAAATAGTGCTTCAGGTTAAGAACTTTGCTTCAGGATGAGAACAGAAATCGGGCTCCGGCGACGCGGCAGCAGCAGGAGGCCCCAATTAGCTAAAGTGGTGCTTCAGGTTAAGAACAGTTTCAGGTTAAGTACGGACCACCGGAATGAATTAAGTACTTAACCTGAGGTACCACTGTAATAAGATCCTGCAGGAGTTTAATGTAATGTGGGCATAATATAGTACTTGCACAGCAATCCAGTGAGGTGGTTTGTATTACCTCAGTCACACTCCTTGGCTGAACCTCTGGACTTTTTGAAGTTGGGACTGTTTAAAAAGTTGCACAAAGTTCTAGTGAAGATTAGCTACTAAAAATAGAAATTGAAAGTACGAAAACATTCATGGATTATACATTTGTGAATGGTGGCCCATATGTCTTGTTACAAATACAAATGTAGAGTAGTTTTGTACTGGTTCAAGTGCCCTGTTGTTACTAGCCAAAAAATTCTGGGTATTGTAGCCTTATGAAAATCATCTGAATTATCTTTTAGAAATCCCTTTCACTCTTAATGGCACTGCAATTTGCCAGAGCTCCTTAAAAGGAAACTGACAGTTTAAACCTGCCTACCTACGGGACCGCCTCTCCTGGTATGCCCCGCGGAGGACCTTAAAGTCCACAAATAACAACACTTTGGAGGTCCTGAGCCGCAAGGTGGTTAGATTGGTCTCAACTAGGGCCAGGGCCTTTTCAGTACTGGCCCCGACTTGGTGGAATGCTTTGTCACAAGAGACCAGGGCCCTGTGGGACTTGACATCTTTCCGCAGGGCCTGCAAGACAGAGCTGTTCCACCTGGCCTTTGGTTTGGACTCAGTCTGACCCTTATGTTTCCCTCCCCTTATGGTTCTGATTTATGGGCTACTACTAAAATGAGGCTGCATTTTAAATTGTATTTTAACCCATATTTAAATTAACTATTTTTTCCTCCCCCCCTTCCTATTATGTTTTATTGTAATTTTATTGGTGTTAGCTGCCCTGAGCCCAGTTCTGGCCGGGGAGGGCGGGGTATAAATAAAATTATTATTATTATTATTATTATTATTATTATTATTATTATTATTATTACCTGCCTTAATCTGTATGCAAACATTCAGACATTTTTGAACATAAGTATCCTGTCGAGTTGCAGCTCGGCATCCAAAGAAAAATCAGTCTCACACCATAATAGGTTCCGAAATATGGCTGCTCCCAGGGCTAATGCAGCACAGCTTTTATTGTGTGAAAAAGAAAGATACAAAAATACAAGCCAAGCAATTTGTTCTAGCCAGCAGATAAGGACCTTCGTACTAGACCATGCGAGCGATCAGGCTATGCTACGTTAGCCAATCATATGGGACAGCACGAGCTGTTCACGCGCTGTTCATGCTCCAAGGATGCTTCTAGCTATGAAATCACCCTGTAACAATAAGAACTTTGCTCATGCTCTCATGTACAAGCAATCATTTTCCCACATATCCCCTTTTCTTGTTTATATTATTAGAGGAAAAGAGGGACCATTAGTCCAAATCGTACACTTCATTGCCTACGCGTCTACACTTTGCAACATAAATTCCTCTTGTAACCCCTGTGGTGGGCCGTGGTCGGTACCACCATGCAGTGCATTGGGAAATCAAAGAGGGTATGCATTGAATGCAACAACACACCATAATGAAGCCAGCAATACATGCAATTACAATCAATAATATTTTTCTTAACCATAATCCATTAGGTAACCAAGAAGACAACCACTCCCATGGATCAAAACCTTCAGGTGGATTCAAAGGATTATGGGCTATCATTTGTTCCATATGATCAATAGTAGCAGAGATATTGGTCGATTGATCAGTTATATACATGCAGCAATGAGAATGAATTAAGGCACAAATTCCACCTTTAGAAGCAAGGATCACATCTAAAGCATAATGATGTTGAAGAACTACATTTCTTATTTCTGATATTTCTTTGTTAATCATTTTTAAAGCCAAAATGGTGGAATTAAACAAATTTTCTGTCCAGTTTGCCAATTTATGCAAATCACGGTAATTCATGGCTGCACCTAAAGAAGGCAGAAGGGACCTAGAGATGGCTGTCCCTGTATATTGAGAAATAGGTGATAGTACTTCCCTTCTGTTACGCAAACGGACCGCTGGGAGCTTATCTATTTTATACACCAAGGGTACTACTATACCTAACGTGCAAGTACCAGAAAAGGCAGAGGGGATTTCTTTGTAGGCACGTGTGCCACAAAATAACCATAAATCAGATTGAAGCAAACATGTAGTTCTGCTGCTCTTTCTCATCCAGTCGAACCAAACATAAAAGTCTCTACACGCAGCTTGTTGTTCATAGGTCATGTAAGTTGTGACATTATTAATTAAAACCTTTGGTCTGCCACTCATGGTTGTAACATTAAGAAAACAAGAAGATCCATTAATGTATTCATGTGTCCAATTACAATATGGATAATGACCTAAAAATTTTTGCTATTGTGATTAAAATGAAAACAATAAGGAGCTAATTCTACCAGCGATAGAAATACAGGAGGTAAACTTATGCGATTGTCCTTCATATTATTTCTAATCTTAAATGAAGCATTTACTGGAATACCACCACCAAAAGAAAGGTTCAAAGCTTTGAGAAGCTTTTAAAAATCATTTTTCTCAGCAGCTAAAAGGCAGTAGCTAAGCATATGCTGTTTGCTGTAACTAAAAAAAATTGCAACAAGGTAGAGAACAGAGTCCATTGTCTTCCAGGCCTTGCTGAAGAACCATATTGCAACTTGCTTTCTGTCCGGGAACCATGCCAAAGCACAAGAATGAAACAACTGGAACACACTGAAATCCCTCACCCCCTCCCTTGCCAAGAGTCCACAATAGTTCCAAGACAGCTTTCTGTACATGCTCAGGGGAATACATCATAGGGCAGGACTCCTGAGGGAGGAGAAAAGAAGAAGAGATCTGTGGGGTAAATCCAAGCGATGCCGGTCCGGCGAGGGCATCCTTCAAAGCCAGGCTCATTTCCCAAACAAGAGGCAACAAAACTGTAACGATAAGTGGTAGAAACGGTGGCTTCCCAGGGGGAAGGGGGGCCAACGCGATAGGGTTGAAGATGGCCTTTCAACGTGCCAGGAAACACTGGAACAGCTGTGGAAGGTGGCTTTATCCAGGGCACATCAATATGGCGATGTCTCCAATTGCAGTGCAGGTTGAGATTAGGTGGGAGGTCATCACTGGCAGTCAGCGTAAAATACAGTTTCAAGGCGCTGGTGTCTCCTTGGGCGAAGACGAGGCAGCAGAAGAGCGCCAAGGTCGAACGCAAGAAATCAAAGAAGTTGGACCCTTCCACTGTGGATCTGGAAGCAACCTGTATGACACTAAAGGATGCTGCAATATTTCTTCCTTCCAGAAATGAAGTTCAGCAGGCGTAAAATTCCTGTTGCCAAATAACCAGGGTGACCAATATGTGATCTAAGATGTGCTTCAGAAAATTGACAAGTCCTGGCCTGTATCAAAGACGGGGCACTTTGTGC